CCGTCCGCGGGCTGCGCGCCGTCCCACCCGCCTGAGTAAAGCGCGGAACAGCGGCGAGGGTTCCCTCGGGGCGGCGTTATTCGGAGGGGGCCGGCAGAGCATCCCACCGCGCCGCGGACGGTCCCTGGCGGGGCGGGGTGCGCAGCTCAGCGCGGCCGCGGAGCCCGGCCCTCCGCCATCCCCTCCGCCGTAGCGGTGCGAAGCCTTGGCGGGTGTCAGGACCGGGGGGGCCGGTGACACGTGTTGACTGTTCCCCGGCCAAAGCGTGTGTATGCGGGGACACGTCCCGGCTCCTGCCGCGCCCCGGGGCTATCTGCCACCGCGGGAGGGGCGAGGAGGGGGGAAATATTCCCCATTTTTTTGTTGTTTCTGCTTTACCACTCCCAGTGGCTGCGCAGGCTGGACTCCGCGGCCCTGCGCGGAAATAAGCGGGTCCCGGAGCTGCCTGCTCCGCGGTCCCCCGGCCGAGAGGTCCCTGCGCTCAGCGGGGCGGCCTCCCCCCTCCTGCTCCGCGCCTCCCCACGCCTCTCCGCGCTAGCTCGGGATGCCAGGCGGTCGGAGACGCTCTTGGCTGGTCTGCTCCTGCATAATCAGTTGGGATGGGGAGACTGGAAATAAAAATAATAAACATTAAAATAATGTTCCTGTTCTCCTCTGCTCCTCTGTCCCCATCCCCGGGCGCTCGGGCGGCCGCCAGCAGAGGGATCTGCACTTTGCTTTTTTCCCCCCGGCTGCTGCTGCCTTGGCGGCGGCAACATCTGCTGGGCTGGAGGAGACGGGGCGCTTGAGCAGACGCACAGATGTAAAAGTGACATCTGCTTGTGACAAAGGAGCGGGAATTAGATTAGGCGGGGAGGCCTTTCTGCGATTAAAAAAAAAAAAAAAAAAAAAAAAAAAAAAAAAAAGGAAAATACAGGCTGTAGATTGTGTAAGCAGGGGAAGAGGATCTGAAAGGCAGCAATGCTTACTGGGCAGCTGCTGGGAGAGCCAGGGCAGCACAAGGGGCCTGGGAGCTGAAATAGCCCTAAGAGAAGTCTTTGCTTTTCTCTCCAGAAGCAGAGATGTGGCCCGGTCAAAGCTTTCTCTCATTATGAGCAAAGGACAGCAGGCAGCAAGGGCACTGCTGTGACTTGGATGCCAGCAGAGATGCCTTCCTGCAGCTCCTAACCATGCTCCTGGCATCAGATAGCCAAAGAAGCCCAAATCTGACCACTTCTTTCCTTTGTTCCCTGATGGAATAACTGTAGGGAGGTTCATAAACCCAAAAGTTAAGAGACCTGGTTGTTGTTTGCCTCGGGAACTGTCCTATTTTGGTCCCATTAATAAAATAAATCCATGGGTTTAAGTTTGGTAAAGCAGAAATATATAGCAAAGCTGTGCTTGTCCGGTCAGCTGCACCCAGCACAGTCTTTACCTGCACCAGCCTACACTGCTTAGCAAGAATAAAAGCACCCCACATATTTCAAATGATACAGTCTTTACCTTCTGTTTTGTAAGCCATGTTTTTCCCAGTCATATAAATATTGATGTTGAATATCATTGAACATCATGCCATTTTTTTTAAACCCAAGCACTTTTATATCTAGGGATATTTGATGCCCTTTGCAGAGCAGCACACAGGAGAAATAGCGATTTATATTTCAAATTGTAGAAAAAATGTGCTGTATTGCAAAAATAGCAAGTTACAGAGTGCCATGTGCTGTGCACCGGGGCAGATTTAGTAATGTGTCCTATAGGCCCTTCCCTTTAAGTTTGATGAAGTTGGTCAAAGCCTACTGAACCTTGTAAAGACTATGATTTCAGCAGTGTAGATTAGACCTTTAGTGCTGAATAGCCTGCGGGACTGCTGCTTGTCTGTGCAAGCTGATTCTTAACCTAGTTACAAAGGCATGGAGTGTGAGTGTGACACCTTTGTTGGTAATGGGGCTAGGGAACAAGAAGATTGGATGGCAGAAATTGAGAGGCCTCTCATAAAATGCACAGAGTAGGATAGAGGGAGAGAGAGTACGGTGAAAATAGCTTAAAAGAGAATTAAGGAAATCCTGCTGATTGATGAAAAAAATTTACTTTATGTGCTTATTATGGCTAAAAAGTGCCAGTTCATCTACCTCCTTACAAGCATAGAAGCACAGCAAAACACTGATGACTCACACATAAGGTTATATGTCATATCCAACTGCAGATAAATACATATTTGTGTTGTTTAATGAAAAGAATACTTATGAGTTCAAAAAAATTAAGGGTTTGGTATTTGCTGTTATTTGGGGTTTTGTTATTTGCATAATAAGGTGATGGTCTGAGTACAAACCCCATCTGTCTGATGGCCTTGAAACTGATGGTAACAGAAGAGATTTGTCCTTCTGTTTGTGCCCTGCATTTTCTGCTCTTTCTCTAAGCAATAGTCACTGGCCACTATCGGACCTATGGCCTGACCCAATTATGGCAATTTTATGTTTCTATGCCTGTTTGTGTCAATGAATCCAATGAGGTCGAATGAGACAGTAAGAAAGATGGAAAGGTATGTTCTTCCCACAGTGAAGGGTAATGATGTCTAAGTCAAGAGGTCATAGGAAAGTTAAAAAGGCCTCTTCTCAGAATAAGTATCCAGTGACAAGGAGGCAGGGTTTGACAATCCTGAATTCCTGCCTGTAAGGATGCACTGTGCCTTCAGGCAAGGTACTTCCAGCTCCCACACAAGAGAATGGGTTAGCAGAAAGAAATAGTGTTAAGCTGTTTAACCAAAGGTCTCCGTGTTGGCTCTGCTGAGGTGTACAGCAGCTACCACATAAAACTGTAACATGCTTTGTTGAACTGTCAGGAGCAACAGGTCAGAGCATTGCTGCATGCCTTAGAGACTGATGGCAATTAGTCAGTCTTAAATGGCAACCAAGAAACACCTAGTCAAATGTACTGGTAGCTTTTCCTTAGTGAGTCAAATACAGAGAGCTTGCTCAGGTTAGAAGTCAGAGACTCACTCCCACTAACAGTCCCTGGCTACATATCAGCTGTGTTACTGGGGCCACAGCTATATCACTGCTCATGGCTGAGAGGCATCACTGTGGATCCAGCCCTGGTTGCATTGCTCTGTGGCTCCTCTGCTGTTTGGATTGTATCAGCTATATTATTTCTAGGCATTTTATCAAAGTTTATCTGTGTTTGCTCTGCTCTTTCTGAAGTAGTACACCAGTTTGCAAACGATTCCTGATGGACGGTGCCAGGCCCCTATGCAAAAGTGACATAATACTTGCAGCTGGTCATTTTTAGCCTCCCAGTAAAAAATTGTTCCTATCAATCAATCAATGAATCAGAGAGTTTACTACTAGTCATCCCCAAGTGCTGACCTAGAAAATACACCAATGTCTTCCTGTTAATAAATGATCTTTTCATTTTATTGCAGTCAAAATGAGTTCATGGACTCCTTCATTGAAACTCGAGTTATATAAGGTCCCCCTTTTGTTAAGGGAGTGCAAGAAGGGTGTTGGTTGGACAATCAGACTTCAATGGTCAAACTCAGTCTCCCTCTATTAGGATTTCAGAAAAGGGAGTGAAAATACCTGGTAAGTGTTGGCTGGAGAGGGCACGCAGTGCAGAAGTTTCCATTTGTTGGAGACAACAGGAGGCAGAGCTGAACTTGTATGAAAAGCGGATGTAAGATGTACACTACATATTTCTTATGCTGACCACATATCTTCCTTAAGCTGATTATGTTTGATGCAAAGGGGCCTTAAATTAAGGGTAAATTATCTGTTTACATTCATAGAGAATAAGAATGGGTAATAGCTTCAGATGAGAACAAGACTGCAGTTTTTACTAAAACCTTTTATGTAATCCCTGCTTGCATCTCTCTTGGAAAATGCGGGTTTATGTGTGTACTCTGGGACCTTGTTCTGTGCCATTAACTAAAATAATTGCCTATATTCAGACAGGCGCTGAAAGGATTGGCACTGGGTCAGTTCTTAAAAGTTTATTCGCAATCTGTAAGAAGATTTTTTTCTAATGCATTTATAGGCATTGTTCTAGTTAATACTCATGTAAATAGCACATTAATTGAGTTTTCAGATTTTGTCATTGTATACTGAAATATGCTGATATCTTCAAAAGTAAAGTGATGTGTGAAAGTAAGTAGATGGTAGCACATACACTAATATGCATTGTGTTTATACACAGTCTATCCAAAGAACCAAGCAAGAGATGATAGGGCTCTAACAAACTCACAATGTAATTTAAATTACTTTGGATCAGCCATTAGAGTTTGTCCCTGCTGAGTAGACTCTGGAGTCCCAATGAAGCTTTTATGTAGTAATTTTGTTGTGGCTGGGGGTGGGCAGGGGGAGATGCTTTCCTATGCAATGTAAAATCACATTTAATCTTGCTTTTATTACTTCTAATATTGCAGGTTTGGTTTAGAAGGCCACTGGGGCTGGAAGCAAGTTTTGAAGTCCGATGAACCTGAAGTTCATGGGAGTTTATTT